TCCTCGACAAGTCACAAAATAAAAACCATTTAATAAAAATATAATTCTACAACAACAACAATACTCGTGCTCGATGCACTCACAGCGTGTCCCTAGTCACTACCTATTCTCACTCATCTCTTGTTACAGTGTCACGTGATATCTCTAATAATAATTGATATTGCTAATACTAATACTAATAACTATTCTATCTATGTAATATATAATTGTAAAGGCTTATCTGTCAGTTCTCAACAATGATGAGAGTTGGCAAGCGAGAGCTTGCATGAGAGTTTTCTCAAATCTCATGTCCTGCAATGGATGGACGTTTTTATGTGACCTTATTTTAATTAATAGTTTGAAGTTGTTTCAGATGATCGCAATAAGAATGAGGGAAATGAATAAAGCTGTACATGCAATGCAGTGAGGAAGTCTATCACTATTCTACAAAACTCTTATTTTTATGATTCTTTCAGGTAATTTCCCCGACATTCAAGCAAAGTTAGACAATGGCTGCTCTTCCTTCGAATTCATGCTCGATTGTCATCTGAAATACGGCGACATTGTATTAATATGGCTGTTCTTTCTTCCGTGGGTGAACGTCTCCAACATTTCTGACATAAAAGACGTCTTGATCACACAAAAATTCCCTAAAGATCCCAGATTTTATAAAGAATGTCTGGAAACTCTGTTCGGCCAAAGGGCAATGGGAACTAGTTTGTTGACAAATCTGGACGATACCCAATGGCGCCACCGACGATCCCTGATGAACCCTGCATTCCATCGTTTGTACCTACGTAACCTCATGTGCCACTTCAATCAAAGCTCGGAAATAATTTTGAGCAAGCTGCGCGATCAGGCTGAGAAAGGTCTGGACACTAGAATGGTAGACGCGTTCTCATTGGTCACTTTAGATGTGATCTGCAAGGCGGGGTTTGGGATAGATCTTGACGTCATCAATGACCCGCACAGCCCGTTTATTCAGGCATACAACCTAATTTTAAAAGGGGTCGAAGAGGCTTTTGTTAATCCATTTCATAAATGGGATTTCACATCGTATCCTCGGCAAAGAGAAGTTATAAAAGCACTCCAGTTTCTACGCAGTACAGGGCGCGATACTATCCGAAGACGGTGCGAAGTTATCCGACGAGGCGACGATAACCCAAAGGTATTAAAATCTAATTTCTTAACATTCAAATTATTGCCAATTCAGTTATTAAGAGTGAAAATAATTTCTTTTCCTTCTTCAAAGGATATTCTAGGTCACATTCTGAGTGACGGCCGGGATCCGATGCTCTCCGAGGAAGACTTGATTGACGATTTTGTAACATTCTTTTCATCCGGTCACGAGACTACGTCATCAATTCTCTCGTTCTGTGTACTGGAACTAGCTCACAACCAGGACGCCTTAACACGAGTGGAGCGAGAAATCAAGGAAGTATTGGGTACGAGAAATGATGTCACCTACGACGATCTACCAAGATTTAAATATCTGGACTGCTGTTTGAAAGAAACGTTACGTCTATACCCGCCAGCACCGGGGATTATACGAATAACACCCGGTAATGTTACCCTGGGTGGGTATAAAGTTCCCAAAGGAACTACAACTAGTGCTAGTTCTTTTGTCATGGGACGTCACCCGGGATTTTGGGACAACCCCGGGGATTTTATCCCAGAACGTTGGGAGGGCGACGATAGCTCAATCAACGCGTGCATTTATTTCCCCTTTTCACTCGGGCCTCGGAATTGTATTGGACAGCAGTTTGCAATCATGGAAAGTAAAGTAGTGCTGGTCAAATTCTTGAAAATGTTCACTTTTAAACTTCTTCCTGGTCAGACAAAACGAATTCATGAGCGAGGCAGCTTGCAACCTATGGACGGCGTGGTCTGTAAATTGTCATTGAGAGAAAGCTAAGAAGGCAGTTCTAAAGCCTGGCTCACATATACCTGCGGTATGTCGGCGGGCTATTGTCGTGAGCATTTCAACCAAATAATTCACTGAAGAACGCATGCATCAACAGCCGTGTAAACAATGATAGCCCAGGCATATATGAACTAGGCTTAAGAGACAAGGCTGAAGTGAAGGAACAACATCCAACTTAAGGCATGTTCATGCAAGTCTGGTTTTCCGAGAAACTGACCTGAGTACGATGAATTCTGTCTTTATAGGACTGTTTTTATCCGACCTATAATATACCGGCTCGGCCGAACAACATGATGTAAACATGGCGTCTTAGAAACATTTTTGTTGTAATTAAACAAGCCTACAGGACAAATGGTAACTGTTTAGACTTTAGGTTTATCGATGTTTATTTGTTTGTGTTTTCCAAGCACGCATTAAAACATGCATTTAAATATTTCTACTGCATGGCTTTATAGTCTGCCACTGTGCAATAGCTTGTGAGGTCATCATATTGTTTTCAAGTTCGCAAGTCTCGCGATAAAAGGCATTTATTGTTTTGCATGAAACACCACTAATTCTGTATCAGTGGCATTTTGAGATGAGTATACTTCCAGTTTGCATGTACTAGTGTACTACGGTAGATCACCGTACTAAAACACTGCAAGGTCGACTAAGGGACTGAGCTGAGGTTTTTCTTGCAAAGAGATCGCCATACACTGGACCTCTAAAAAGAACAGTTTAGAGCTGATCAAGCTATCCAGTTTAACAAAGTTAAGTTTTATTTTTAACATTAAAACATTAAGAACAACCACTCGTTCCATTTACATCCTCGCGTTTCGTCCTCGGTGGCTAAAGTATCGTACAACCGCCGTACGAGTCTTACATGAAAATAACATGAAGTACTGAGATAAGTCTATAAATATAAATTTGTAACATTTGCATGTCGTGAATTTTGTTTATAGAAATTTCGACCAAAAGTGGACTAATGGCTGTAGAAGACGTGGCTATAATTGGCTGTGGTGTGTCTGGTCTAACTAGCATTAAATCCTGCCTAGATGCTGGCCTGAAACCTATATGTTTTGAACAACAATCTACTTTCGGAGGCGTATGGAATTATACCGACGAGCCTCGACAGAATTTAGCATCGGTCCACAAAAGCACTGTCACAAATACGAGCAAATTGCTAACAGGTTTTTCTGATTTTCTTATTCCTAAGGAGTTTCCAAATTATTTGCCTCAGAGGTTAATGCAAGAGTATTTGGAAATGTATGCAAAGGAATTTGATTTGGCGAAGTGTGTTGAGTTTAATACAGAGGTTGTAAAGTTAGAGCGGAGCGCGGATCACGGAGACACGGGAAAATGGGTGATTTCTACCAGGTAAAGTTGCCCCAAACTTCGTGTTACGGTAACTTTTTTTATAAACGGTAAAATGTTTGCATCTAAGGATGTAAATGTGCATATGCAAGTTATGGCAGTTTGTTCATTTAATCCATCATGCAGCAGCACTCTCCCCTTTGATGAGTAAAATCATCTCAAGTTTAAAGTAATATGGCATTAGACAGAGTAAAATAATAAAGTGGGGGTGTGCAATGCAACTTATTTGGTTAATTACCATAAGTGCTATTATCTTTGTAGTCTTAATTGTTTAATTTAATATACAACATTTAATTGATAGACATAAAATACTAATAAAATACTATTTTTTAATCACCTCTGTCAGAGGGATATATTTTTGAGAAGGTTTGTAATTAAAATAAACTTTGCCATGACATATGGCAAATATGACTATAGATATACAGTCATTGAATGTGGTAAAACTAATGATAGTCCACCAATATCAATTTTGCGACCATTGGTGAGCTCACAGGCGGCTTAAGACAAATGAAAACCTCCTATAGTAATTCATCCGCGATTGTCGCAGACAATTGTGAGAAATCAAAGATATTAACATTCACAACAGTCGGTGGTAGTTGCAGAGACTCTACAATAATAAAACAAATCAAACACTGTTCACAAGTTGTCCGTGACAGTCATTTAACTTTTACATAGTGGTCAACTTTAACCACATAGTTAAGTCAGTTGTATAAAAATGTAGTTAGCATAAACTGCAGTTTACATTAGTATCCGTTGTCACCATACTTATCTGTGTGGATCATGGTTAGGTGCAGACGTGGTCAGCTAATGATCTAGGGATTTGAGTTACTTGGATTCAGGTCCAAATCATGTGAACCTGTCCATATTTCAGGACCTGACCACCGAATGTCTGCACCTTAGGCCTAAAAAAATACCTGTGGTTCCAGTTTCATATCGTGAAAAAAGTTAGGGTCGGTAGGTCGGAAATAAAAATTTTTTTTGAATATTTTGGCAGTTTTTTTCTGGGTGATTTGTAGTAGAGTCCCGACATCAATATTAACTAGAGATGCGTATTTCCTATGGACAAATTTAGGCAATTTGGTTCAATAATTAGTGTGGCAACAGACGCCATTTTGGCACGCTGTATGAGCAGCCAGCAACCACCTGGAGAAAATAGGGTCGCACGGTCAATCGTGTTGAAAAAATAATGGGGTCGGCAGAAAAAATAGGGTCGGTCGGGAACCGGAACCACAGGTATTTTTTTAGGCATTATCACACCGAACTAAGTGTTCAGTGGAAGTTAAACCAAAAGTCAATTGTCGTCATGAAAACAAAAAAAAATAATTTGGCTTCTTCTCTAAGCAGATTATCATTGCAGTTGGCTGTGAGTTAGCTAATGACCTGGGAGTCTGCTTGGCATTCTCTATATCTGATATCCTGAGGGCAGATGTCTTACCCAGACTGCATGTGGTTCCTATGATAATAACCTTTGTTACTATGTAACCTCATTAAACATAGTTAAAGTTAACTATGCCCTAGGATATCGTTAAACTTCAGAAACGTCCTAAAACGTAGTTAAAAATGGCATTTGAATGGCTTTTAGGAGTGCTCAACAATTTCAGTAACACCATAATGAAAAGCAATGCTTACCTCGCATTTTTCAATCGCCATCGTCCTTGTGGGAGGCTTCCTGACAGTCATAAAGGTCTTTTAAGACCTTTAAAAAATGCTGTAGCTTGTTATATAGTTTGTGTATTCTGGCAAAAACAGAAATATAATTTTTGCACACGACTACAGGAAGATTCCTTGAAGACAAAGTGGGACCCATAACACAAAGAAACACTGCTATATATGTCAAACAGCTGCACTTTGATTTGACTTAGACATCTCATAAAAAAGTACCTTCTTTCTTGATTTTTGAAGGGATTTTTGCGGCATAATTTCTTCCTATAAATTATAATTTCTTGTTTATTTGAAATTTGAGATCAAGTTCCCGCCAATATTCCCGCCTTTTTGTGAAATGCGAGTCCACAATCATGTTCAAAATACATGTCAGCGATCGTTCATCATTCTGTACTTTATGTAATCTTGTGTTAATTTTTTTTAATTTTTAAAAACATTTTTTGTGTTAATTTAAATCACTGCCACGCGGAATGGTTTTCAAGGTGTTTTAGTAACAATTTATATAACAAAGCTCATGCTGAATTGGCATACAGTTACTGTAAACTATATTTCTGCTATTGTTGCTTTTGTCCTCGCTTTAAATTCTGTACTATTTCGGTTTGCTATTTGAAAATAATGTGCAAGAGTTTCCCCTTGACAAGTAAAATCGTCTGGTGTGGTGTTAGACAGAGTAAAATAATAAAGCAGGACGCATTAGGGCACAATACAAGTTGATATGTTAACTTGTCCCAAGCTATTGCCACTGAGAATTGGAACCTTTAATTGCTGTTGCTGGCTAATAATTGTCAGTGAAGTTTCGTTTGGGAATAGGCATGTTCTATTTTTCAACCGGAATGATGGTAGATATAAAAGCTGGTATACACTATCAAAGTTTCTGTGATCACCTGTCAGTAGGAATTTTGCATAGGTAAATTCTAAGTTTTGACGAATTTGTAAGAAATCTTCGAGGGAACACACTTGTGCGAAACCTTTCTCTCGTAAGTGATTTCCACAGTAGAGAAAAAATTCGCCAAAACACAAGCATTTGATTGGTTTCGCTATTTCCATTTCGCAACGGAGCAGAAACACTGAATCAGTTCCTTCAAACATTTCTTACAAATCCATCAAAATTTCCCATGCAAAATTCCTACAGCTGTTATCACCAGAGGCCGAGGAAGCATTTCGAAAGTGGAGGGGCATTGGCCAAAAGGGGCACTTTTGTATTCAGCTATTTCAATTAAGGTTGTCCCCCGAGCAAAGCGGAAAAGTCGAGTACGAGCGCGAAAGGCTGCTGGGAATCGCTAACAAATGAATGAATTTATTAGCGATTCCCAGCAGCCTTTCGCGCTCGTATTCGACTTTTCCGCTTTGCTCGTAGCTGTATGACCAAAATCAAACGATTTTATGTCGTTCACGAGCCGAACGAAAATTTTTGAAAATATGGAGTCTTTATAACGTCGAAAATGGCCTTTACAGTCTGGGAGTCTTTTATACTACTGCAAAAAGGGCACTTTCTTTGCAGCAAAAGAGGGCGTTCATTCAAGAATTACTTTTTTCGTTCTTTAAACGGGGCACTTTAGCTCAGAAAAAAGGGGGCACATGCCCCCATTGCCCCCCCCCGGTTCCTCGCCCCTGGTGATCACAGAAACTTTGATAGTGTAAACAAGCTTTAAATTAAATCTAACTGGAAGCACTTTTCTCACACGAGACGGAGTTGAAGTTATATTCAGAAAACTGTACATGGAATGGAATCCAGGTTACAAACTGTGAAAAGTAAATGCACCATGTATATTGTGAATAGTTTCATTACAGAAAAAATATAACGCAGAGTGTTGATACCTTTATTTCACATTAGGAAACTAGACGGCACAAATTCTGAGATCACGACCAAAACATTTGATGCAGTTATGATATGTAACGGCCATTTCTGGGGCCAAGTTAAGCCTAATATTCCAGGAATGGAGAAATTTAAAGGTGTCATAGTGCATAGTGGAGATTACAGAACGTTTCATCCATACGTTGGTAAACGAGTCGTAATTGTAGGGTGTAGTCACTCAGCTGGTATGTATATAGTTACTATAATGATATACAATTATTCTTAAGCAAATAATTGGGGGTAGATCCAGGCTCATAATTGATACAGGGCTCATCTTTACCATTGCACAATATGTCAGAAATACATTGCCAACCGTGACAATGGGATGTTTTCCAGAGTTCCTTCCCCCATGAACAATCTATAGTCAGTTTCCAAGCAAAACCAACACACAAATTCTGTCTAGTACCAACAAAAAGTCTTGACTATTTTTATGTTGTTTTAGGCGATAAAATCATAAACCTAACTCACATCCAACTCACATATAAAATCATCCGATGTTAGACAAGTAAAATAATAAAGTAGGGCGCCTCAGGGCGCATTGCTTACATACACACAGATGTTATTTTTATTTTCCAAACCAGCTGATATCGCTGTTGAACTAAGTCATCATGCTGCCCAAGTCTACATAAGCACAAGTGGATGTTATGTTTTTACACGTCTTGGCCGTGGAGGACAACCTCTCGATTTTGATATCTCCAGAGCAACCCAGCTTATACCATTACCACTAGAAATTGCACTAAAATTTCACCCTGGACTGGTGAACAACAAAGTTGATATGCAAAACTTTGGCCTTCAACCAACAGGCACCCTCGGTGTACATACATTTGGAATTGTCAACGATGACATTCAACACCGTATTATAACTGGCAGTATAAAAGTCAAAGGGAATGTCAAGGAGATTGCAGAAAATTCTGTAACTCTCGAGGGGGGCGAGACATTGGATAACATTGATGCTTTAGTGCTTGCAACCGGATTCAAACCAAAATATCCATTTGCAAAAGATATCATAGAAGTAAAGGATGATTTCTATATCAGTTTATATAAGCATGTGTTTTTGCCTGATGATGAGTGGCATACATTAGCTGTGATTGGTGCAGCGGGGGTCGGAGGGCCTGTGCCCCCTGTTTGTGAAATGCAAGCAAGAGTTGCCGTAGAAGTGTTTGCGGGGAGATGTAGTTTGCCAAGTGAAGGTGAAATGGAAAAGGAGATTGTAGAACGGGAACAATGGTGGCTGAAAACTGGATCGTCCAAATACAACTTTATGAGGGTGAGTACATAATGGTGTTGCCAGTGGATAGAAGGTTTAGTTATAACCACAATAGCAATGATACTAATTATAGTACGGTGATGGTGATCATGGTGATGGCGGTTATGGTGATGGCAATTACAGTATGGTGATTATGATAGTAGTGGTTATGGTGATGGCAATTAGGGACCGGTCATTAAGTAACTGCTAGGGTGGGCTGGAGTGATTTGGGATGGGCCATGGAAAATCTTTGGGCAGTTTCGATGGGCCGCCAATTTTTTGGTATGTCCACGTTTGGGCCACCAAACAAAAACCCATGTTAAATATATTACATAAAGATATTAATAATAAAAGTAAACAAAACTACCCAAATTATCAAATGCAAATGATGCTATTGAAGCCATTACTTTGTTTTATACAACAACAAGAAGTGGTCGAATCACAGCAAATACAACCAACTGGAGAGCAGCTCAGTATTGTAATTGGTGATGAATGTGTTGGTCAAGCTTGGTGGAATTATGTATGTCAATACAGTGCCGGTGTATATTTACAATGTTCATACCTGCAAGTTTTTTATTGTTATAAAATTGTATTTTCCCAATTTAGATTGGGTGGGGGGAGGGGGGAGGGGTTATGAAATAAATTTGGCAAGATGGGCTTTGAAATTTTATCTACATCCTAAGATGGGTCACCAAACTTATTGGCAAAATTTGTGATTTACCTCCAGCCCACAGTTACTTTATGACCTACTCTAGCAGTCCCTTATGGTGGTGGTGGTTATGGTAATTATGATGGTGGTGATTGTGTCTGTGGTGACTGTTGTCATGGTTGTGGTGATTATTATGGTTGTGGCGATTATGAGATGCTTGGGATAATGATGACGATGATTGGACCACTATGATGTCTCCTAATAATCCTGCTAATGGTGATAATTAATTATTGGTAAACTACAATAGTGTAGGAAATATATATGGTTGTGGTAGTGAAGGCTGACGGTGGTTATAATTTCAATAGTGTTCATTTGTGCCAAAGATCTTTCAGTTGCTTACAATAAATTTTTCATCCAAATATTTTGAAGGTTAAGTATGTCTCCTATATGAATGAACTTGGTGAGATGATCGGCGCCAAGCCCAACTTATGGTCAATATTCAAAGAAGATCCAAAACTGGCCTATCAAGTTTTCTTTGGAACTACCGTCCCAACTCAATATCGACTGCAAGGACCCAACACTTGGAAGGACGCGAGGAAACATATCATGAGTTTTCAAGAACAGTATCTTTGTCCATTAAGTACCAGAAAGTGTGCACCATCAGCAGAAAGTAACAGTCATGGTGTTCTTATATTTATTTTTGTGATTGTTTTTGCTGTAGTTGCAATAATGCTCAAGACATGAAACCACGTACTAGTGACAATAGAATAGCCAAAGAACATAATGAGACTTGTGATTAATTCCTAAATTTACTATAAGTGTGTTTTGCATCAATTGAAAATGGGGAAAAGCGGTCACTCGAAACGTCGAAGTTTTTTTTTGTATTTTTCAGGCAGTTGTATAGTTTAAAGACGACTACTGTTTGTATTCATTGTTATACAGTATATGGGCGGATTATTGCAAAGACGCAAACTATTTACGATTATGTATAGTGTGGCTATATACAGGGTGTCCACCCCTTTGGTGAAGGTGAAATTCAAGGACTTTTCCAGGATTTTCAAGGCCCTTTTTCAGAAATTCAAGGACCAAGAACTGGGGAAAATCTTTGAAAATGGCATGGATTTGCCGTAAATAATTCACTTTATCCAGTAATTAAAATCACTAATGTTGGCACAGCTGGAGGTTAGGGAAATTAATTCCAGGACTTTCAAGGACTTCTACTGATTTTCAAGGACTTTCCAGTCCTGGAATTTTTTTTCCAATTTTCACACCCTGTATATATAAACTGAATATCATATTCTACCACAATTTTTTAAATCTCGAATGGTCTGTGCCAGTGTAGGTGCTAGCGACGATAAGAAGACAGCTATACGGATTGAAAGAGACTCAACTACCTGAGAAATACAAGCAGAACTTCAACGTTTCGAGCGAAGGCCTTTCGTCGGGAAGATAGTAGCGTAACTTAAAGTGTCGAAATTTTGTTGGCATCTCACTCCATTCAATAATAGTTGAAGGGTCTTGTAGATGGAAATTATATCGAGTCGAAATTTATATACATTTATTTCATGATTGAGTCGCTTTCTTTTGTTATTCAAGACCTTATATCTAGCGTAATTACTCGTCCATCTGAAAGTCCGGGGAGGGATTTGATTTTCAGCAGGGAAGAGCGGGCCTGATGTATGAATTTGAATTGCTCAATACACACATGAGGAGGTATATATCTAATTAAATACCTCACGAATAGTTTAAAACAGGTATTTATCTAGACTAGTTTACCCACAGGGTAGTGAATGCTGCCTTGGTATAGCATTGTTTCCAAATCTTTAATATTTTAAAGAATAAGAGTAAGAAATATTCGTAATGAATTGGAATCATCCATAATTTATACACTTGAATGCGCCGTATGATAACTCGGCGCTCGAAGTTTCGTATCGAAAGAGGAACAGCCGAACAGGTATACGATGGCTAACAAGAATGAGTGTACTTATCAACTTATCTAACGCGAGGAAAAGATCAAAATGGCAGGTATGGCTGTGATATCTAGTATATAAAATTAGTGTATAGACAATTTGCCTACAAATACGAATAGACTAACCTCTATAGACTAACCTCTATTTGCCTAACTATACCTCCGCCCTCGGTGTTTAACTCTAACTTATTAGACCTAACCAGGACGAGCTGCGAAAAATGCAACTATATAGGTCCCTGGCAGGGGACCGATGCAGCGCTCTAACTAACAGAGGCCAGTTGTCGAAAGTTCGATTCCTGCCAGGAACCTATAGTTACATTTTTCGCAGCTGTCTCTGGTTAGGTCTAATAAATGTATGTATAAATTTTCACTTGATAATTTCCATCTACAAGACCCTTCAACTATTATTGAATCGAGTGAGATGCCAAGAAAATCTCGATATTTACCCATAACCTAAACATGGCAGTACCCTATATAATAATTTATTATATACACAAGGTCTGGATACGAGGTATTCTGCAATCTGATTGGTTCTCTACTAGCAGGATATTAGCTCATATCCTGCTAGTAGAGAAAAACAAAATGGCGGCTCAACTTGACTACTGAATTTCCGACGTTTGCGAACGAGAAAACGGCAAGTTGTTCGCTTTTTATAGCCTTTACAGGATTAAAAACACAATGAAAAAACTCCCACAAATTGTTTACAGGTTAGGAAATGAATTTTTAAAATTTAAAATGGTTAAAAATATATATTTTTGAAAAAATAATCGGCCGAAACAGCGAAGATAAAAACATAAACAAAATAGAAAAATATTGAAAATATCCGAAAAGCAAAGTCCTTGAATTCAGACCTTGTGTATATAATAAAACAGTTATTCCACTCACTCTCGTCGAATATGAGCGATAGCCGATTCGGCGCTATGCGCCTCATCGGCTATCAACTCATATTCGACTCGAGTTCGTAGAATAACTGTTAAATACACATGAACTTGTGGTTAGAGCACTGCACCGGAATCGCAGGACCGCAGGTTCTAGTCCTGCCAGTAACGTAATTAAAGTGTACCTTTCTTATTTTTGCTTTACACAAAAGACAAAATATGCTAATAAAAAATATTTAATGACAGTTTCATTGTGGTTCCATATAATGATCGAACACAGTTGATTGAGTTGAATACTTTTGTATGCACATCTAATTCTTCCAGTTTCCGCTACGCACTCCGCGTCATCTGGATGCGCGGTCGAATATTGCCCCGGGCCATGCGATTTTCCGTGCGAATAAATTTGTTATTGTAACATAATACATTCGCATGTTTGTGCGAATTTTAAGGAAATTTCTACCAAAAATTGACTTGTAATGGCTGTACAAAACGTAGCTATAATCGGCTGTGGTGCCTCTGGTCTAACTAGCATTAAATGCTGCCTAGATGCTGGCCTGAAACCTATATGTTTTGAACAACAATCTACTTTTGGAGGCGTATGGAATTACACTGACGAGCCTCGACAGAATTTAGCATCGGTCCACAAAAGCACTGTTACAAATACGAGCAAATTAATAACAGGTTTTTCTGATTTTCCTATGCCTAAGGAATTTCCAAATTATTTGCCTCAGAGGTTAATGCAAGAGTATTTCGAAATGTATGCCAAGGAATTTGATTTGGCGAAGTATGTCGAGTTTAATACGGAGGTTGTAAAGTTAGAGCGAAGCGCGGATCACGGAGACACGGGAAAATGGGTGGTTTCTACCAGGTAAAGTTGCTTTGTGTTAAACTTTTTACACTGAATATTGCGTTTGTATCTAAGGCTCTACACTTGCAGATAAAACATTATTTATGCGAACCTTTTTGTTCAGAGCACTTGAAAGGTTTTAAACCACCGTTTTAATTATACTGATCAGTCAACCACGCGTATGATTTATGATAACCAATGAAAGAATTCTGACTGTTAATTCAATCATCATTTGAATATCAAAAAAGTTGCTTAGAAACCAATTAGTTCCGCATTGATTCGCGACTGCTAAAACGTAAACAGAAAACATTTTAAACCGTATTTAATACCTAAAGAAGAATATCGAACCAAAATTAGGTAGATCATACAAACTAAAAGAAACAACAAATTATCACAACAGAAATCTGCGTCGTGAATAAAGTACTTTAAAAGTTTTAAATAGAACAATTTAACCTTAAATTAAACTGTGTAACAAACTAGCTTGCGCTAGACTATAGCGGTAATATTATCACTAAATATCAGGAAAATCCTTCTATATTTTTTTATATAAAGCGGCGTACAATGTCAATGCATACACATCGTGTGACATATAAAACTAACATATCAACTACACTCTATCTTTACTTATTATTCTTTATTTTGCTCCACACAGGAGACAAATATGCTGGTACAAAATTCGGAATTGGCTTTGTAAGACCGAGCAGAAGTTATTTTCAGAAAACTGCAATTATGGAATTGAATCCTGGTTACAAACTGTCAAATGTAAATGCACCATGTATATTGTGTATAGGTTTCACTACAGAAAAATATAACATAGATTATCGATACCTTCACTTAGGAAACTAGATGGAACAAATTCTGAGATCACAACCAAAACATTTGATGCAGTTATGATATGTAATGGCTATTACTGGGATCAAGTTAAGCCTAATATTCCAGGAATTGAGAAATTTAAAGGTGTCATAGTGCATAGTGGAGATTACAGAACGTTTCATCCGTACGTTGGAAAAAGAGTCGTAATTGTAGGGTGTAGTCACTCAGCTGGTATGTACATAATCTATATGGAGAAAGAAAGAGAGGGTGTCACCTTTCCTTACCAATTTTTTAAACATTTTTTTAACAAATTACATTATTTGCAGAGTCACACAGAATTTGTTTTTCAGAATGATATATAGTCAGTCTCATATGATATTACAAATGATATTATCTTTCTCCACACCAGCTGATATCGCTGTCGAACTAAGTCATCATGCTGCCCAGGTCTACATAAGCACAAGAAGTGGATGTTATGTTTTAACACGTCTTGGCCGTGGAGGACAACCTATCGACTTTGGTATCTCCAGAGTAACCCAGCTTGTACCACTTGCAATTCAACTAAAATTTATCCCTGGACTGGTGAACAACAAAATTAACTTTAAAAACTTTGGCCTTCAACCAACAGGCACCCTCGGTGTACACAAATTTCCAATTGTAAACGATGCGATTCAGCACCGTATTATAACTGGCAGTATAAAAGTCAAAGGGAACGTTGAAGAGATTGCACAAAATTCTGTCACTCTCGAGGGGGGCGAGACATTGGATAATATTGATGTTTTAGTACTTGCAACTGGATTTAAATTAAAATACCCATTTGCAAAAGATATCATAGAAGTAAAGGATGGTTTTTATACAAGTTTATATAAGCACGTGTTTTTGCCTGATGATGAGTGGCATACATTAGCTGTGATTGGAGGAGTGGACCTTGGAGCGGCTTCACCCCCTGTGAATGAAATGCAAGCACGGATTGCCGCAGAGGTGTTTGCGGGGAGATGTAGTTTGCCCAGTAAGGGTGATATGGAAAAGGAGATTGCAGAACGGGAACAATGGTGGTTGAAAACTGGGGCATCGAAGAAACATTTCACGCGGGTAAGTACATTATGTATAATGTTGATGGTGAATTATAAGTTGAGTTGTCCACAACAGTAATGATGGTTATTATTGTATCGGGTGATTATAATTATGGTGATGGTAATTATACTGATGGCAATTATGCTGATGATGATGATGATATGGTGGTTATGGCGATGCATGTAATGGTGGTGGTGGCATGGTGATGGTAATTGTGATGGTTATAATGGTGATGTTGATTATGATGATGTTGATGGTAATTTTGATGATAGTGATTAATTTGGTTATGGTGATTATGAGAGGATGATCAGGATAATGGTGATGATGATTATGAAGATTGCACCACTATGATGTCCCTTTAATAATGCTGCTAATGATGATGATGATTAATACGGTAGGAAAGATAGATGGTAGTGAATGCTGATGGTGGTTATAACTTTAATAGTGTTCAATTGCTGCTGAAGATACTAGTTTCAAATCGCTTACAATCTATTTCTATCCAAATATTTTAAAGGTTAACTACGTCCCCTATATGAATGAACTTGGTGAGATGATCGGCGCCAAGCCCAACTTATGGTCAATATTCAAAGAAGATCCAAAACTGGCCTATCAAGTTTTCTTTGGAACTACCATCCCAACTCAATATCGACTGCAAGGACCCAACATTTGGAAGGACGCGAGGAAACATATCATGAGTTTTCAAGAACAGTATCTTTGTCCATTAAGTACCAGAAAGTGTGCACCATCAGCAGAAAGTAACAGTCATAGTGTTCTTATATTTATTTTTGTGATTGTTTTCGCTGTAATTGCAATAATGCTCAAGGCATGAAGTCTGTTGTATTGGTCTGAAAATGGGCAAAACGGTCAATTTGCGCCATTCAAGGTGTATGGACTATGTGAAAATTGTCTCAGCTTTGAGATATATGCACTGACATCAAATATGGTGTTGTATTTAATAATTAAATGTATGCAGAATAATTTCAAATTGCCAATTATATTTACCAGGATTGAATTTAATACTTAAATACTAGGTAGTTGTACATAAATTTACAATGCATGTTTTACACACCACAAAAAATATTGGGAATTCACGGTTCACAAAAATACCCTTTACTACCCTCATTAAACATGTGACCAACGCAAACGGTATACATTTTACATAAAATCAAAACACTTTGCTGGAGCTTTATTATGTCTTCGATTCTTATTCCTTAACAGTATTGCAACTAAAACAGTTCAACTAAATAACCATTAACCACTTGGGCGACCATGAGCAGCGATAATCGTCCTAGTCGCCTAAGTTTTGGAATGTATATGTATTCTAACATTTACAAAATTTTAAAACGCCTATTTACTAGGCTTGTGATGTTACTCTGAGTGTATATCCACACCGGGCAAGCTTGAAAAATATGCCTGACCACGGTGGGAATCGAACCTACGACCTTTGGAATACTGGCCCAATGCTCTGCCGACTGAGCTACGCGGTTTGGTCGGTTCGAGTATATGATATTTCGGAACAGAATCTAGTTCCTTCGATATTATTATGCCATCATATCTTCTCTAATCTTCTCAAGACTAACGCCTGTATTCTAAAAGCTCACTTATACTCACACTCAAAGAGTGGAGGTTCAATCTGAGCCTCCTTTGAGTTTCAGCAAATTCAGTGCTTTTTTTGAATAGCTGGAGGGTGAGTAGTCACACATACCTTTAAGGTATGAGACTAACCCTCCAGCTATTCAAAAACAGCACTGACACTCAAAGCCAAGGGAAGTTCATTTTGAACCTCCAGTTTTTGACTGAGTGTGAGTAAGCTTTTAGAATACAGCCGTGAGATTTCATATGGATTTGTCAAATAAATGGTGTTTGTAAGAAAGACCCAAAAAATGTTTGGGCTATGACATTTCCAGTGTCTACGCGGCCACGGAGTCACGCGTGCTATGCCAAGCGCTATCAAATTACAATATCATTATCAAGGAAGTAGTATATAACAGAAATTATCCTAATATACCACTGCGTTATTTATAGACTGGTATTCTGCTACGTAAAAGGGGGCCAACTTTCCGAGGAAGTATGGGCCGAGGGGCTAATTTATGTTTTACAGGGGTCAAATTTCCGGGACACCGAACGTCTATACGATATTTGTATAAACATTTGTGTCGAACGTGAATTTCAAGACGTTTCGACCAGAAGTGGACTAATGGCTGAACAAAACGTGGCTATAATTGGCTGTGGTGCGTCTGGTCTAACTAGCATTAAATCCTGTCTAGACGCTGGCCTGAAACCTGTATGTTTTGAACAACAATCTACTTTTGGAGGCGCATGGAATTACACGGACGAGCCTCGACAGAATTTAGCATCGGTCCACAAAAGCACTGTCACAAATACGAGCAAATTAGTAACAGGATTTTCCGATTTTCCTATGCCTAAGGAATTTCCAAATTATTTGCCTCAGAGGTTAGTGCGAGAGTATTTCGAAATGTACGGAAAGGAATTTGACTTGGCGAAGTATGTTGAGTTTAATACGGAGGTTGTAAAGTTGGAGCGGAGCGCGGATCACGGAGACACGGGAAAATGGGTGGTTTCTACCAGGTAAAGTTGCCTCAAGCTTTGTGTTAAACTTTTTCATACTGAATAATCCGTTTGCATCTAAGGATATACATTTGCAGATAAAAATATTATCTATGCTAACCTTTGTTAAAACAGGTTTTTAATGTGTACAACAATCAAGTACTTCCCCATCAATTAATTCTGCATATTTGCCACAATTTGTCCAAAGTACACTAAAATTAAGTTTTTACTACCATATGCCTAGTAGAAAAGTGTTTGTATAAATTGCTGTTTGCATAAAACTTTGTAACACTTTTCACATTAGGATTCTAGACAGCACAAATTCCGAGATCACAACCAAAACATTTGATGCAGTTATGATATGTAATGGCCGTTACTGGGACCTAGCAAAGCCTAATATTCCAGGGATGGAGAAATTTAAAGGTGTTATAGTGCATAGTGGAGACTACAGAACGTTTCATCCATATGTTGGAAAAAGAGTTGTTGTTGTTGGGTGTAGTCACTCGGCTGGTATGTACAGAATCTACCAATCCAGGCTCATTTTATATATATAAAGGTGTCATATCTTTCCTTACCAGTTTTTTGCACATAATTCTCAACCATTAATTATTTGCAGATTCACACTGAAATTATTTAGGGTGCCTGCAGAGGCGTAGCCAGCCCCAAGTGAGTGGGGAGGGTCTAATCGCTCGGCCATTCAGGGACATGCTCCCCCAGAAATGTTTTCTATGGTTAGTGTTTATACACATCTTATGATAATCTGAAAGCCATTTTTGGTATATTTTATGTCATAGATGAAAACATTAAGAGGCTACAACCCCAGCAGTTTCTCACCATTTTTGAATAAATTACAAAATTGGTCCTGAAGAAAAGTGGGGGGCGGGGGTGTCATGACCTACAGTACCTTCCCCCGTGAATGATATATCGTCAGTCTCCAGTTTACCATATTTGTGTTACTGTTTATACAAACGTTTGAAATTTGTGTGTATACAAAAAATTATTATTTATTACTCTATGTCTAACACCAGAACATCATCAAGGGGGGAGTGCTGGCACTCAATGGATTTGGGTTAAAAACACACCAATGATATTTTCTTTCTTTAAACCAGTTGATATCGCTGTTGAATTAAGTCATCATGCTGCCCAAGTCTACATAAGCACAAGAAGTGGATGTTATGTTTTCACACGTCTTGGTCGTGGAGGACAACCTCTTGATTTTAGTATCTCCAGAGCAACTCAGCTTATACCACTTGCAATCCTGGCAAAACTTCTCCCTGGATTGGTGAACAACAAAGTTGACTTTAGAAACTTTGGCCTTCAACCAACAGGCACCCTCGGTGTGAATAAATTTCCAATTGTAAACGATGAGATTCAGCACCGTATTATAACTGGCATGTTAAAAGTCAAAGGGAATGTCAAGGAGATTGCAGAAAATTCTGTAACTCTCCAGGGGGGCGAGACATTGGATAATATTGATGCTTTAGTGCTTGCAACAGGATTTAAATTGAAATACTCATTTGCAAAAGACATCATAGAAGTAAAGGATGATTTCTACACAAGTTTGTACAAGCATATATTTTTGCCTGGCGACAAGTGGCATACATTGGCTGTGATTGGTGCAGTGGTAGTTGATGCGTCTACAGCCGCTGCCAGTGAAATGCAAGCAAGGGTTGCCGCAGAAGTGTTTGCAGGTAGATGTAGTTTGCCCAGTAAGGGTGAGATGGAAAAGGAGATTGCAAAACGGGAACAACGGTGGTTGAAAACTGGTGTGTCCAAGTACAATTTTACACGGGTAAGTACATAATGATGTCGCCAGTGGCAGTGGATTCAAGGTTTCATTATAACTGCAACAGTAATGATGGTAATTGTAGTATGGTGATCCTAATTATAGTCAGTGATAGTATAATGTGGTGGTTGGTGATTATGGTAATGATTATGCAGGTGGTGCATGATTATGATGCTAACGAGTATGCGAATGCCAGGGTGATTATA